GAGGGTCAGTATCTAGTGTTTAGTGATGAATACTGTGGCCAATAGCTCCAGAATCGTTATCGAAAGCCTTAAATGACTGTGGATTTCATATAACTAGTAAGGGAAATTAACATATGTCTCAGCAGAGTATCCACAATTATTCAATAAAAACTGCCTCAGAAACATTTGATGATATAGTTTTCTTGAAAAGCACTTACAATCACTGTTCTGGACTAAGTAATAAGTGTGAATGTAGGATATTTGGATGACTTCAGATTTCGTGAATGCATTAGATTTTGAGCATTAGTACAAGAAAACTTTGTTATTTTCCCATAATAAGAGTTTCTTTCATCTTTAGCTACAACTAGTATGATGGAAGACCAAGACTTAGCTTTCATTTTAAAATGAACAGCTGCGCATATGTAGATAAATCATATCAAAGGGATTACATCTCGAAAAATGTTAATCAGAAACATTATTTACCCTTTTATATCCGCATAGCTTAGAAAAGAGACAAATAACAACCGACAAGATGTGAAAGTTTCTTCATTGATAATGAGCATATTCGACACAGAGAGTATTAGCATCTGTTCGTCAGGATATTACCTAACATTCATATTGCTTACACTAAGCTGTAGGGACGCGCATTCGGAAAATATAATGAAAGAGAGGCTACTTTAGTAGGTCATATAATACTGTTGGTTACTACCACTTGCTTGAATAAGGTCTATTTACCAATAAATACTGTCTTCAAGGTGTAAGTTAGACACGATGAATTTTTTTTCTTTTCTTTACGTTCCCCAGTGGAATATAGGGCTTCAAGCCAGTGCGCTGAAGTTTCTGTGGCAGTGTTTATTTTACAGGATGGGGTTGCTAGCCTCATGCCCAACCTTTCTTCTTCACCAGCATTATTACTGGCTTAGCGAGGTAAAGGAGTGCGTCGGCCGGGGATCGAACCCCGGACCATGTGCATGATCGGCGAGAGTCCTAACCGCTATGCCACCGACGCACACATGACACGATGAATTAATACAGGTTAATCTCATATTAAATCTATCCCCTCTGCAATCTCTACAGGCAAGGTTCTTTGGAATTTTCTTAAACATACTTTCTCGGCGATCTGTAGACATATTTCATATTTTTAATATCTAATAATAATTTTTATTTAGGTAGGCTGGAAGAGTCAAAGAGATAATGATCTCACTTTTTTCTTTAATGATAGTTTTAAGTTGTTTTATAATTTATGGCTAAGTCTTTCAAAGAAGTCATCACAACTTGTAATGCTTGACTTTTATTCGTATTATTGCTCTTGATATTACATGTATATATATATATATAATTTTTCTAATTTAATAAACTGAAGTGTATATTTTTCTCTCTTTACCTCCTTGTCCTTCCCAAAGGAAGCCTTTGTGCCAACTGAAACTTTCAGAATATGAAGTAACTTACATTTTATACGAGTTGAAATATCCTGAACTGGAATTGGGGGAAAATGATTCCCGGACGTTTGTGAGGTGCCAACAACCAAGTAATATTTGAACAAAGCAAGAACTACAATTTTTGCAGAATAAAATGGTACCATCTTTTATTTCGTTGCAGATTTGGGTGGGCTCAGACCATCATCTAGTTCAAGGAACCTTCAAGGTGAAATGAAAACCCTGAAAACAAATGGAGACAGGCCACTGTAATCCAAGTTCAACACTCAGAAACTTAAGGACATAACCACAAGGGATGCCTTCACTGCACATCAGATCAGAGCAATGTTGGAGACACTAAGTGGCATCACTGAGGAAACCTGCGTGGAAGAACACTGGAACTATCTGTCTGAAGGTGATATTCAAGGAAACTTGTACAAATGTTCTAGGAAGAAAGAAGAGACACGACAAGAAATGGCTGTCAACGGACACCACCTGGATTCTAATGGAAGAGAGAAGAGGAGGATAGTGCAGGAGAAGCTGACTCAGTGTAAGGATGGGCAACAAAGGGAGTAGCTGAGTTCACAGCGGCGTACACTGCACTGAATAAAGAAGTGAAGAAGAGTACTAGGAAAGACGAAAGAAATTCCTACGACACACTGGCCAGCAACTGAAGCAGAACAGGCAGGGAGCAGGAAGAGGAAACCTCAGGGCATTCTATCACTTTAAAGGACTCTTGAATCTGCTGTTAGAGCTGTCTGCATGAAAAAATTGTAAACAACAACTGACGTCAACGTTTACGTCCCAAATAGAAGGTCATGAGAAAAAGCAAGAACAAAGCTTAACTTTGAGAAACTCAACAACCAGTCACAGCATACTTAGCGTGGGCGGATACGGTTTTGTAAATATATCAATGGACTGTCTAAGAAACGGCAACAAAAAGATGACAGAACAACCTTTAGCAGAAAAACAACGAATCACAAGAAATTTCTTCTCTGCCAACAATAAGGAATAATAATATACATAAAAATCTATAAATATCTGTTGTACGAAAAGGCGTAAACAGCGAACAAAATTTTCTTTTCGACGATTCATTTTCATGAGCTGTACAATCGTACTTATATTAAACACCGTAGTGTTGAAGTAGTTGGAGGACTTGTGTCCACTGGCAGCTCCGTGTATGATGTTGGTGGTATTTCTGGGCGGATTGCAGGTGATGGTTGATTTATAACAACAGAAGACAAGGACCAGGCAAGAGATCGTTTACTGAGAAAGTTCTTACTATAATTTTGCTTCTTCTTCGCTTTTATATTAATAGCATTGCTATTAATAAACAGTAACAGAGTGGTAAAAAATCTGGATGGTGAGAATAATAATGATAATAAAATAATAATAATAACAACAATAGTAAACTTACGTAATAAAAGCGAAGAAGAAGCAAAATTATAGTAAGAACTTTCTCAGTAAACGATCTCTTGCCTGGTCCTTGTCTTCTGTTGTTATAAATCAACCATCACCTGCAATCCGCCCAGAAATACCACCAACATCATACACGGAGCTGCCAGTGGACACAAGTCCTCCAACGAAAGCTGAAATACTAAACGCAATCAAGCTGCTGGAGGCCAACCGGGAAGGCGGCAAGACCAGACGGAATTCACCTCGAAGCACTGAAATGGACCCAGAGACTGCCTCAGATGTGATAACGTCATTGTTGCAGAAGGTTTGGAAGGAAAGAAAGGTTTCTACAGATTGGAAGAAAGGCTATATTGTCAAGCTACCAAAGAGGGGTGACTTACGCCTCACTCATCAAGAACTGGCGTGGAATAATGCTCTTGTCCATGCCAAATAAAATACTTAGTCACATCGTCCTGGAAAGAAGAAAAGACTCACTGGGCGCAGAACTCCGCCAGATCGGAACAAGCTGGCTGGATTCAGGAAATGCTGGTCATACACTTATCAAATCGCCACTCTACGCATCGTCATCACAGAACAAAGCATTGAATGCCAGTCAAATCTGTCTCTGCCTCAGCTTCATTGACTTCGAAAAGACCTTCAACAAACAGCACTGACTGAGAAGTAATTTGAAAACTACTTCAACACTACGGTGTACAAAAAGTCTTTGTCAACCTCATTCAACAGCTGGCTATATGACAGTGGCACGTGTCAGGCAATCCACAACGGCAAACTCAATGAAGACGATGAAGTGAATACCGGAGTAAGACAAACTGGCTGCCTATTATCACCGATGATATTCTTAATTGTGGTGGACTGGATTATGCGTCAGACTGTACGTGGGGAGTGAGAAGACAGGAATACACTGGATGACCGATAAGAAAACTCGAGAAGATCTGGATTTTGCAGATGATATATATCTAATTAATATAATTTTAAAACTTGGGCACTGTGGTAGAGTGTAAGTCCATAATCGAGATGTATGTCTAATGTCACACAAACTAGAAAACCTACAGGCAGGCGAAAACCAACAAACTGGCTGAACAGGCAGGCAGGAGAGGACTGCAGGTGAACACAGGGCAGACGGAGGTGATGAAAATAACCAACGAACCGCAACAACAACAACAACAAGCAGTACCAATCACCATCAACGGGAGATATTTAACAGAGGTTAGCTCCTTCACTTATCTAGGAAGCATCGTTTCAACTGCGCGTGGAACGGATGAAGATGTCAAAGTCAGAATCGGAAAGGCAGGATACGCCTTCATCAACCTGAAACCAGTTTGGAAATCGTCTACACTCAGCATAAGGAACAAGATTCGCTTTTTCAACACCAATGTCAAGTCGGCCCTTCTATGCACTGTGTGTCACGAAAACGATTTCCAACAGGTTGCAGACTTTCACCAACAGCTGCTTTCACTCCATACTGAATATCGAATGGCCAGAAAGAATCAGTAACAAAAAACTATTTGCACAAAGTGACCAAAAGCTGACTGCTCAGCAAATCTGTAGGAGAAAATGGAGATGGATAGTGTGTACATTGAAGAGGCCGTCGAATAACATCGCACTCCAGGCCATTGCTCAAGTGGAATCCGAATGGGAAGCGACGAGTGGGTTGTCTTAGGGGGACATGAATTTGGTCAGTCGTGGACCCAGTTGAAGAGGATCGCAGAAAATAGAACAAAGTGGAGATGTGTTGTTGAAGCCCTATGTTCCACTCGGAACCCAAGGGAACAATAATAATAACAATATAATGTTAGTCACGTAACTTTACTTGTAACTGTGTGTCAGCTTTAGAGCTTATGGAAGATGTTGTTAGGAGTGTCTATCATGGATATTTAGTGTCATCATTATTTTATTTTAAACATGAAGATGGGTGTAAGTGTGCTCTATTTCATCGCATTAAGGAGTAACTCCTTTCATTCAGAATACGTGGGCAATGAAGTCCTTTTTGGCATAGACGCTGACAGCATATGAAATCACCTGAATACAATTTAAATAACTTTATAGTCCTGCGTTACTGTTCTGTACCGATTCCATCGAATCTCTAGGTCGGTCAAAAACCTAACATATGTAATTGAAGAAGGTCAACGTAAGTGATTCATAAATGATTAGTACTGAACAGAAGATTATATTTAATTTATTGTTTTATCACACTTATCTGATCAGAACAGTGAAATTAAAAAGATTAAATAAGTGAATTTATGAAGATAGAAAAAAATGAGCGGATAATGAAAAACTTTGATGTAAATGAATAGAGAGAAGGGGAAATTCGATATTTATCTTGATCATAATCAGAGAAAGCAACTCGAGTGAGAAAAAGAGCCAGATATATTATTTCTCCAGATATGAATAAAAAATATCACTTTATTGAGGGGATGGCTCCTCTTCATAGAAATAACAACTGACAGAAAAATATTGTTCATAAGCTTATTTAACAGCATAATTTATATTTGATCAAATAATACATAATTCCAAAAATAACAAAATACTTAAAACAAAATAAACTCATGAAAATTTCGTTGACCATTTAATAAACTTCACTATGATATTAATTATGTATGGTAAGCAACCATAAAATCATTCCGATTGCATTTAAAAAAAAAATCAAAATAAGTGTTTATCAAAAATTTCTCTGATTTTAAAAACAAAAAGACAATGCCTAATGGCTCAGTTTCAAAATGGTGCCTTCGATTAAATATTTTCTTCAAATAGTTTCAGTGATAATTATAATCAAAACAAACTCAGGCATTGTATGAATAATATATCGCACATAGAAATGGCTGTCGGTGTGCTGAGTATTATTCATTTCAGTTTGCCTCCAATTATGATTCTTTTCGCCAAATTCAGATACATTTCACTAGACCGATTTCCGTCCCACAAAACGGGCAGACATGTTTGACATCTTTGCAACAATCCACAAAGAATGGTATAAGAAAACAGCCCAGAACGCCTCTGTTTGTTTTCATAACAGTTTTTATGATTCGGTAATGAGAAAACAGAAAAGCGACTTAGAAGAGAAAAAAGAAAGTATTTTGTGAATTACACTCAACATAAAATATATCATAAATCTTTGTATTTCTATAGATGTGCTGGTGTGCTAATAATTATTTTTCTTTAGGTCACATCCTATAAAAAGGGAACCTAGCGTAAAAAATTTGCTTCCGATGAAATAAAAATTCAGAGATCCAAGTACTTCATTTACATGTGAAGTCGACGGGTAATACCGTAATAACTCATCAATTTTTATTCTCTTAGTTTATGTCCTGAAATTTTTGATTGCAACACCTCTACCTATATGTTTCTTCTGTTTCTTCTATCTCTGAATGTTTCAGCAGAAGTCCCAGGTCATATACTGATAACTCTGACAATTTAGTATTAGATATATTTGTTTCATAACAGTATAGCGATGCAGAACTAATTATTTGAGTTCAGATAACTAGTTACACACATGTAGATGTACTAAGACAACATTTAATGCTTCTATTTATTTTTACAGTACTTTTAATAACACAGCCATAGCACTACAGTGGAGTGCTGTGTATTTGGAGTAGACTGTCTAAAGATTACCTCAAAAAGATTTACCTATCCTTTGTTAGAATGAAAGTATAAAGTTATCAAAACGTAGTTACTGGTCATAAAAACAAGCTAGGAAATAAAGTAAGTTTAGAATGAAGTATCATAAGACTGATCTTTGCATTAAGAATTCATCTTTGAATAATCTCAAAACGTATATATATATATATACCAAGGCAAACTTAAATGCCAGAATAATTTTAACAAAAGATGTCTGAAACATGTGTAAAGTATAAAGTATGGGAAAAAACAAACAATCTATGCAGATATATAATTCTCTGCCTGGGTTCTAAATCACATCGTATACAATATGAATTCTAAAGATATTTTCCTAATACTCCAGACTTTTGCTTAGTCTTTATTTGGCTTTTAAGAAACACAAGGATTCACTTCTAAATGAATTAAGTCAAAGTTATCTGAATGTTTTCAAAGAATACTCTTTTCGATAACCCCTTCTTCATCAGGTTCTACAGTTGTATATACATAATAGTGAATGAATTAGTGCTATTAACAACATTATTGTTGTTTAAATAACATCAAATCAATAATAGTAATATCAATGGATTACAGTTCGATTGCATCAACATAACAGTAAATTAGATATTGGAAAAATTAGGAAAAATAATAATACAAATTCATAAATTTGTAGTCTCCACTGAAGGCCAGGGCAGTAGTAGTGGCTGGACTAGCTTCTTCTGCCCACAGAGCATCGGCTGTCGAACCATAATCCATTTGTATTATTATTATTTATTCGATGTCATTTGAACAACACTAATGTTGTTAATAACACTAATACATTCACTATTATGTATATGTAGCTGTAGAACCTAATGATAAAGTTATCAAAAAGAATATTCTTTGTTCATTGACCATCCTGTTGAAACAAATTTAATGGGCATTTCTAATCAGTTATCTGAATGTGTTCAAATCACCAAACGATATACTGGATACTTTCAGTATTCAGTATTATTTTTCTTAAAAACTACGTAATCGCAGAAAGTGAAACATGATCTGTTAGTCCCGAAATCTTAAAAGCTTAAGCAGTATGCATGATTTTCAGAGTGATATTTAGCAGTTTCCAATTAAGACAACAACTAATTACATCATATCAAATTAAAGTGCTTGGTTCCGAAGTGTAAACAGTCACTTCAATGTCGAAAATGCGAAAAATTTCCACCAAATATAAGACAAATCTGTTTCAGTAGCTAATCACTGTTTCAAATGTTTATAGAGATTACTTGACTATGTTTTCCATCTTTTTACAAGAATTGAAAGGGAAAATGCGATACTGGAAACGTGATTTGTAAATTAAAGTAGTGAAATAATCTCGCTGTTTGAAAGGGTAACTTGTAATGAATATTCATTTCTGTTCTGATTAATAATATGTAATTAATAAGAAACTAATTGTCTGTGCGATTGTATAAAACACCATTGATAGTGAGTCTATTTAAATTTAACTTTGCTGAACTTTATTCGTCCTACTGACTGCATTGATATCAACATATCACCTGAGACTAAATCATATTTGTTACGATTCAGTGATCAACTGAAATGAAATAATTGTTATTTGATATTCTCGCTTCTTACTTTTGCATAAAAAGATAAGATGAAAAGAATATCTACTCAGGTATTCGTCTCAGTAATTCAAATAGAAAATCCATCATAATGTTTCATATGTTGACTCACCCGCATATAAAAATTAACGCTGCCATAAGCCACGTTAATGCACCAATTTGATATGTTGTTCTTGTCACTGTAACCTGCTGGCAACATTCGCACCGAAAAGATTTTGGCAAACGACCAAGTTTCTTTGCATTTTCTCCATCTAACTCTGGGCCTATGGTTGCAATAGGAAATATGAAGTAAAAATATTAACAGAATGCTCGTAATTTTGATCACCATAAGATTGGTGAGTCTTCATGGTTTTAATGTATTCATTCAAAAACTGCAATACACATAACATCATGCATCTTAGTGGACAGCAGAACAAAGTTTGTAGCCCAAGTCAAGGGTAAATCATTCAGCGAAAACTACCAACCTCACACTGGCAAAAGAGATGTTTCATAGATTTTCGCTATTGATCAAAATCATAACCAGCACCTAGAGTTCTTGTGTAACAGCTACATAGAATAGCAGAGTAGGCGAATAACGCGAATGATCACTATTTGAAATTTGATTGAATAAATTATCAGCACACAAATTCGGAAAAAAATATCGACAAGAATATCACAGTGACTTGATGAATTTGAATAAAGCAAGAACAACAGTTTGTGTAGTTGTCTTCTTTTGAAGATAATTTTGTTTTCATTATATGTGAACGAAGTGATATCAGAAGTGAAGAAATAACCCTCACAAATTCTAAATGGATTTTGCAATGTTTTCATGAGTTTTGTAAAACTGTAAGCACCAACAGGATTCTTAATAAGAGATGAGTATCACATCATAAGTAGTGCACCACAATCAAATCTGAGATGAATTTATTTTCACATTAAAGTTCCTACACCTTGTTATCCCTGAACTGGTCAATGTAGCTTAATAATTTGAATCGATTATGGCGATTACATACAGAACACTGTTAAAAAAGCCCAGAAAAAGTTATTCCGAATAACCGAATCAAATAGGATTACAGTTGTAACAGGCTTTGGAAGTCACTTAATTAAACTGAAAATCAATTTAGGACTTTTCATTGCTGAAACTAACAGTCAACTACAATTTTTTATTTCAAATAACCTAAGTCAAATAGTGGAGGCTTCAGATAACCCAGGTAATTTTTGTACTAGCAATATTTGTACAAATGCTTCCGAATCAAGCCTATATATATATATATATATATATATATATAACAACACAAAGTGGCATCAGACTGCGAACCATCAAGAAACAAACAGCTATTCTATCTCACTTCAAGACATCATCATAAAACAGACACACCGTTTCTTGATTGTTTTTTCTCACGGTCGTTAGAGCGTGACATGAGCATGCTAATATTTAATTATGTACTGGAAATCCGATTCTTAATAATTTCTAACTTCTACCTTGATATGTCGTAACCATTATCCATTGTCATGGAGCATTCTCATATCCGGACTGTTCGATCTAACCGGTCAAAATCGTCCAATTACAATCATGGAAATACATGATGAAGAAGTTGGTCATTGAGCAGTGTTTAATTCTGTAATCTTTGAACTTATTTTAAGTAGATTTCAACCAAGAACGTTTCTTTGTAACAAATGCATCTTCAGTGATAACAGTACAGTTGTGAGGAACTTTGGCACTAAACAAGCGTTGTTACTCACTTTAAAACTAATGTGCATTTATGAACCATTTTCGACTTGTGGAAGGCATCATCTGTAATACAGTTTACTTTAGCAAAACTTTCCATTGGAAGAACTGATAAAATCCTCTCACTTTATCCTCTGAATATTCATTTTATATCCATCCGCTTATTTATTTTAAATAAGCAACATTATATCATGATTAGATATATTAGTTGTATTCTTGGGAATCAGACAAACCAGTTGGGAAAAACCGAAACTTAAATTGATGAGACTGATTTAATTTTAATAGTAAATATAAATTTTTATCACGCAAATCACTTTTTCCAGATAGCACACAACTTACTTTTACTGATAGATATTCTTGGTGTTGTCTGGGGTACAGAAGTCCCTTTTCCTAGAGTAGCTGTTTTAAACAGATAATATTGTTTATTAATGGTGACTTATATAAGATAACAGAAAATAGTTCCACAAAATAAATAAAACGAGGTGGCAAAAATGAGTAGCACACTAAATTTAATGTTGCTTCAAATATTTTTAGGTTTTGGTAATTCTCAACAATCTTACCAAGAGATACACCGAAAGATATACATTCGTTAACTTTTACGTATAATTTAGGCTGTATTTTATAGTGACTGAATATGAATTTGTTAGAAGTCACAAGTATAACTTCGTACTATCTAGACATTTAACTTTTCCCTCACTAGAGAAAATAAAATCTGCACCATCTATCTATATTTAGGAAAGAATATAGTTTAAGAACATCAAATTAATGATAATAATTTCCTCCTAATACCAATCAATGAACACTAAGAGTCATTTTAGGTCAGGTATATTGCACATTGTGGCCTGGCATTACTTTATAATCTTTGCTGATAATGATGAAATACTGCTTTCATTTGTGCAACAAATTATTTTTAAGTAGAGGATATCTTGTTAAAAGTTGGAGATAAAGACCTAAAACATCTACTCGTGCATTCTATATGCTTTCTTAGCTGCATGTGAACCTTCTACACTTTACAGGGTAAGGAAAATTTTACTTGTACTACTTATAATTTAAAAGGATTTATGGGTTTCCCCCTGTCTGATGCAGGAACTGGTTTGCATTGGCACGTATTTTAAATATAGAAAGGATGGCATCAGTACTAGTGGACAGGTTTTGATGAAAGCTTGGTATAGATACAGAAGACTTATGAGACATCAGCAAGTCAGGATTATCTCTGAAAATGGCGTCATATCTACGTAGCCACTAAATGGCTTATATACTGGATAACAATTTGTTGTGTCTTACTTCACGTCTGTGAGGCGTACCTACTGAACATAGAAGATATCAGGAAATTAAAGGTTTTCGTTCATAGGTGATTTTGTTAAACTGCTTATGACAGAAGAAGCAGCAGTAGAACAACGAAGCTGGGAAACTTCATTTTAAGCGGTGGCTAAGCTACACATTGTGTATGCTGAACCATTGCATTCCTTCCCTAAGGGACCATGTTAGCTCAATTAGGACTGTGTTTATTTGAGATTATGAACGCTGAGACTGAAAAATATATCAAATGACTACTTTTATCGGTGACTTATCTTGTTTGGCCATGGAGTCCTCAGGATGAGAACAATCAGGAGTAAGATACACTTGAGAATATGACTTGCGAACACTCAAAATTACTTAGTTTTATTCATCCTATATGATAGCAGTTTTGACCATCTCCAATACTTTTCGTTCAGTTATTTTCTCACAAAGTTTCGTTGTTCCCCTTTATGTTTGCTCTCATTTCGCGAAACTTAATATCACTTACCACCTAACACACTGTTTATTATAACTCTCTAATATATTTTCATCACTCAGAAGTGTTATCCAACGTCCTAATTTGTGTAAGTAATAGTAGTTCTCTTTAAACGACCTTGAACCTTACCTTTCCCAATACACTATGCTCCACTACTCTAAAGACCAAACTAATAAACTGGAGAAAAAAGTCTGAACACTCCTTAGGGTCACTTTCATGTTATGGCTTTAACAGGACAATCAGTATGTCTGTCGTTGAATTTAGAAACAAGGGGTCTTAGCCTGTTAAAATACATGAGTTAGTAAGTGTTAAATTGAGAAATCAGCTTATTGAATTACTTTTCCTTTGCTTCCGATAGTGCTAAAACTCTACTTACGCTGTGGCTGCTCAGCTTTGACTAATTGACCTTGCTGAATCTGAGCCTGAATGCTTAAAGGAACTGTGAAAAATAAATAAAGTAAAAGAAAGATAATAAACATAGTGCATCAATATTATTAAAGCTGAAGACTTACATCTTCGTAATTCAACTGAATTCTGTAACAAATTCACTTCAATATTTCTAACTTCCTATGCTTAGAAAAGTAACATTAACGGTCAGACACCATAATGGCCTATTTTTAACTCTATTTTGGTATTTCTTGGTACAGAAAACGCCACTTAGCAGTACTAGGCTGATTCTACACTTGAGTGCTTGAAATTATTTATGAATATTTAGAAAGAAATATATGGCCATTAATTATCTTGGTTTATCACATCCATTACCCAACCATTAAAAGCACACTTCATTTAATTCATTAACGGAACAAAAAGGATTGCAGAAGCTGAAATTTATAATCATCGGGTGTGAGAAACACAGTCTGAAATAGTCACCATTACATCAAAAGATATGGAAGTTAAAAAAACATCCCACAAAATCAGGTAAAATGGCGGTTAAGACAAAGAATGCATCAAATAGATTTGCAAAGTTAAAGCAGCTGTAATCATAAAAAGGTATACATTTTTCCACCAAGATATACACAGTATGGTTTAAATTTAATTCCGTAAATATGAGTGAGATATCCGGGAATTTCATGTTGAAGTCCAATAAGAAACAACTTCGTATGAAGACTGTTTAACGATGCCTAAGATTTTACTATTAATGTCATGTAAAAACTGATTCTAAAATTTTAACAGAAATTACACGTGGACAAAGTTTAGATGCTACTAGACGCCTTGGAGCTATTACACTGTTGTAGAGCTTCCAGATATTAGCGTTTGTCGAAACAGCTTTATTACATCATTCACGTGGATGCATGGATAATAATAAATAATAAGTGTAGTAATTTGTGCTTATTTTCTGTTTTTGTCTGATTAACTTTAGATAGCCAAATAACTGACCCATTGGTGTAGTTTGTTTGTCAGATATGTTTCACAGGGAATATTATTTATATCAGGATACCTTAGACACAATATTTTTTTACTCCACAATTTTGAAACTTGGTTTTTAATTAAGTGAAATAACTATTTACAGCTTAGCACTCTGAACTTCTTATTTAACTTTAAATACATTAGGTGACTTTAGATAAACTAAATCATCTTGTTTTATATAATAAGTAGGATCATTTTCTAGATAAATTTTATTTTTGATTTAGTTTGTAGGTCTAAACATAACTTTGTTCCCAGAATAGCTGTAAAACCGGCATAAAGTTTCTGAAGTATGTACCCTGTGATACCAAATATATAGGTCAAAGTTGTGGTCCATGGTCAGTAAAATTAAGGCAGTACCATAAATGAGGAAAATGCAGAGGATTTAACTTCACCATGATGAGAGATCACCTACAGTTTTGTTTGTAGTAACACAGATATACACTAGAATAGAATGCAGTAACAGTTCTGACAACTAACACTGCAGGATTGAAGAAGAGACCAACAACTAAGACAGTATTTATCCAGTAAACATGAAGTGCGTGAGTTAGAAATCACTTAACATCTGACTCAGATATCTTCAGAACTCAACAGTCTTTTAGAAAACAAAAGAAAAAAAATGAAACCCCAGAAACTAAGTTTCAAAATTGTGCAGTTGAATTTGCTATCACTTTGGCAATAGACTATGTAAAACATTATATCATAATTCTTTTTCACAGTGTGATTTATCAAATAATCCAGATAATATGAAACTGTTTGCTACAACATATTCCATGTCCTAAGTTTATAATAAACATTGTTTTTGGATTTATGAGTTTGTTAGTTGAAGAACTTAATACTGAAAATGAGTGAATTTACGTTGATTGTTAGAGACACGGTTTATGCATAAGATCCATTCACCGATAGAATTAAATACACTATCAAAAGAACGCCAAAAATAAACAGTTAAAACAGTATGGATTATGGTCGTTTGTAAACACATAAAACTGAAGACCAGACATAACTAAAATTAAATAAACAGACTATGGTAAGATGAAAAATGATAGAAGTGCACGTTTCTACTTAATATGACATTTGAAACAAAATGATATGTATACACATGTTGGCTAAATGCCAATATTCTTTTGAAATGATGATATCTTTTTACACCACAAGAGAGTGAGTAAAGATGATTTGTTATGAAATTAACTTTTCACCATAAATACAACCAAGGAGATAGTTAAGTTTAGTGAACATGAATTTACATGTCCATGGGATTTACTTTTTTTCTTACAAAAAATGTTATTATTTTGTTCAGCAGTTACAAAGTGAAGTTGTGCACCAAAATTGCTAGAAACCTTTATCTGTTCATTTGTACTGTTTAATAAACTTCTTTGTATGCAGTAGAAGCTGTACTATTCTGTTCGTCAATTAACTAGATCAAGATAATTGAGTTCGAACTGTAAACACGTTTTACATGTCTTTAGATCATCGACATTTACGGTGGTATATTCATTTCATATTAGCCTGTGTAAATTCTTATGTAATTACAAAATTTGATCAGATCAAAGTAGCTGGATAGAGGTGGATGGTCATAAAGTGTCTTTACAAACTAATCACACCTGAATATCAGAGCGTCTAAACGTATACTGAGTAAATCTTTGAATAAATTTATACATTATCATATTAAGCTAACGCATTTTAATATTTGCCTTGTTTTTTATATTATACGTTTACCTGTCGTAGAATTCCTTAACATGCTTCGGTCATTGTTTGTCCTCCAGACGCTGGCATAGTCTACAAGTCAAACACTTTCGAAGGGGTTTTAGTGTTTCAATTACATTTTCAAAATAGAGAAATGAAGAAAGAAAAGACTGTGGAAGAGTAGTGGCATGAAACCAAGTTGAAACTATTAACCGTATCTCTTAACTTTTTTATCACGTTGTTAACAGACAATTTCGGCTAATATTTAGGAGAAGACATAACACTAATTGCTATCCCACAATCAAATAATGAACATAATCCTTGGATTATTTGTAACTCAAACGCCTATCAGTAAAGGTTCTGATCTCGGAATGGAGTAGTGCAGATCTCAGAGAGCACATAAATGTTCTAATGGCTACGAAAATGCCCTAAGGATGAGAATCAAGCATGACATTCTGTTGAACGACTTCTAATACTTGGGATAAAAGTGTATACTTTAACTGAAAAGCTATATCTTAAAAAACGTAGATTTGCGTTAATCAAAAATAGAAATGTTGACTCTTTGTTCCCTTGTTATATGTTTTTACTACTGACGAAAAATGTTGTTTAGACGAACTAGATAGTGGATAAAAACTATGAAGCTAATAACAGTGACTGTATATGGTCAAGAGAAATAATATTTTTTGATATTTAGAAGAGAAAAATAACCATAGGACACAATTTTTATAAAGCATTTGTTTGCATGATCACCAACTTAATGTTGCAAAAAAGTTATGGCAGTTAATATACAAGTAAATAGGTCCGTATTGTGATTAGCAAGAGCATGTTTATGGAATAGATAGTTAGGTGAAAGTGATTTAAATTAGGTTTAGTACAGCTTTGGTTGAGTACTGAGATACGTTTATCTAAGCACAACTGAATGAGTTAATTTCCTTCGTGTTTAACCTTTGATATTTTAAACATATAGAATAAAATTGACCAGCATATAAACAGACATAGACTAAACAGAAATTTACTTTTTAGCTGCTCATTACTGAATAAGTGCTTTGTAAGGCGAGACAATGCATACGATGGGATATTTACGTTTGTTCAATGGATTACCAGTGTGTTTGGTTGACTTAAGTAAGAAAACGTTTGTCAAAAAAATCAGTGGAACGAAAACCTTCTGTAAATGTTACAGTATTCAGGAGAGTAAGAGAAGAATTTATTCAAAAAGATTCTGTGTACATACTTTAGAATTTAGTAAAAGTAGTCGATTGGTACGTTTATAATGTCTTAAATTTATGATTATCACTACTTTTCCGTTAAGTTATACAAGTCTCTAGGATATTACAACGGTTAACTAATTAAATATCACATTATATATATATATATATTGTAAATGGACTTTAGAAGCGTGTGCAGGGTGAAAAAGTGACTTCTAGCTATAGGAAATAGCTTCGAAACAAAGACAATCGTAAGACGCTACCATAAATATGTCTCTTATTTGATTCCCTTTTGCCATTTAATAGTATGGTAGTATGAAACTCCTAATTAGTTTAGTTTCCTTCGCATTGGTGTAATAATGAACCAACTGTTTAAAATATTCAGTGAGTAGATTCGTCCCATCCTTAGTTCATACAATTTCTGCTTATGACAAATTGGCTTTTTGTGATTTTAATATGGGAAAAATGACCAGTAGGTAAATGTGTAAACTTACTGCATGCGATAGACGCTCTCGGAAGATGGTTACCTGGAGGCGTTACTAAGATGTATAAAAATTAATAAATATTTTAAACCATTTGCAAATATTTAAAGGCGATTATTACAAACTGACTGCTTTGCTTATTCAAAATATCTGAATAATTATTGAATATTGAAGAAATTTAATTTTCTTCTATAAGCGCCTATAATTACGTTTCAGTGACATCTGTTGCTAATAATTTGTGACAATAATTGCCCTGATGTTTTTACAATACAGTGCAAAAGTTACACTTCCATAGTTTCAGCTAACACAATATTGTATAACCTTAATATACATGTGTTTTTAGTTTTGTCATCAAAACTTATGGTGATTTGTTTCATTCCAAGCTGGTGAGGACCTGTAAAGTACATAGAGCTGGATGAAATAACCTTAAGCAATTAACAGAGGTCTGAATATAGTCGATTGCGTAACATAATACAAAGTTTTACTGAATCATGTAGCCCAATATTTCACTATTCTACTTTGTTAGTAGACTCTGTTTGTAAACTTACTGCATACGATATACCTCTCGAAGATGTACCTGCTTTTCTAAGATGTATAAGAAATTAATAAATATTTTAACCATTTGCAAATATTTAAAGGCGATTATTACAACTGACAGCTTTGCTTATTCAAAAAATCTGAATAATTATTGAATATTGAAGAAATTTAATTTTTCTTCTATAAGCGCCTAAAATACCCAAATAACAGGAAGGCATAAGATGACATTTTTAAAATCTAATACAACAAGGTGGAGAGAGAGATGGATAACAGAAGCTTTTTTATTGGATCAACTGAAAATGAATGATTCAACACCTGTCCAGCCAGAAATCTGAAAATTCTACTACCACTCCAACGAATAGAAAAGAATAAAGATAACTATGAAACTAGGTTTCGAATTTGTGTAGTGATAATTGATATAATTATCAAATACAAGTTGCATTCGGAATTTGATCCTGTATAAAATACTCTTTCACTGTGTAATATATCTAATAAACAAATTAATATGGAATTACATGCTACTACAATGCTCAAGTCTTATGCATTTAATCACTTCAATGTTTCTGATGCATTTTGCTTCCGTTTCGACGCAATGAAAGTGCACTGATCAGTTGTTTTTAGGCAGCAAATGTAGTTCACCTCAATTAATCTCACCATTATTGTTTTATTTAAGAATTACCTGACTAGTTGCATTTTAGTTCTTCATACTTTTCCAAACACTATTCCATTATTTTATTTATTCAATTGTTGAATGAAATAGTATCTTAGAAACTGCATGCAAATGAAATGAATATATGCCATAATCACTCAACTCCTATAGATACATATATATATATCTGCGAAAAGCATGTACCATTTTTAGTTTATGGGAAGGTCTAATAAATGTTTCAAATTGAAATGGTAATAATGAATAGTTTTATATTAAACGAAAAACTTACTCCCAGTCGTTGCATTTGGTGCACTTAAATACGGAGTTGTACGTGGACTGACTCTTTGAGATGAACCTATTTTAAATTGTAAAAAAAGGTTTGAGAACAGTAATTTGATACACAACTGTCGACACAACTCTTAACATTTCAGTTTCATAAATATTTATCACAATGTTTTCTGTTCAAGTTGTGTCATTCTGCGGGAGATAAAGAATCTGATAGGGGAATACGTTTGGTTATGTAAGTTTTGATAATCCATGGTTAGATGGAATATGCAGGAACTAAAAACCATTAAAGAATCATTAAAAGTGGTTAAGATTAGGCAGTTATTTCCTCCTAATGTAGAACCGTTAGTCAGTACTCAGAATCAAGTATTTTATAATGGGTATATATATATACATATATGATATCCTTTAGATAACAAAAAACCACAGTGCCAATGAATTTTCGTCGTCGTCACATTTGAAAACAGAACAGTATACTGACTCGTTACTGAATTTGTAGCTATAATTTAATCTGTAATAACAACTTTTAGCAATACTAGGATAAGTTGTATCAGAGGCACGTCTAGCAGTTATTCACAGAAGGCTTGATTGCACGTATTACAATGCATATTATAAGTCTTTAAATACATTCGAAACGTTATGCCTAAAATCACATTATAATCAAAACGGATATAAGTAATAAATAGACATATTTCACATTTACATTTTGGCTAAGATTACTTTCGTTTTGAATCACTGGTCACTTTAGTGTGGAAAATTTTAGAATTACTATGTGGTCGTGGGATAACTAATTTGTACACCGGAGTTCATTAGTGTATCTGCTAACCTTTCCTACGGAGATGTTTACTTTGTTTACATCGGTAATGAAAGAGCACTTACTCTTTTTCTCTGGGTGTGTCAAAATAATTCGAACAATAGGTTTTAGATTCCCCTGTTTTTCGTCGATATCCGTGGATTCGTTACAGCTCATAAGTGAGAGTCCTTTCGAATGTTTTCAATTTGATCGAGCTCAGGTATTCACTAAATAGGATAGTATTTTTTCACTCATACACACTTTATCTCGGTTAAAATATAAATAAATTACAGAGTTCATGAAATATTTATAACTGTATAACAAAAGCAATACTGACTACAAAAATACTGTACAACGAGAAACTCTGTGCAAACAAGTTTACGCAATCCAGTGTACTGAATGACCAGTCTTTATGTCCAGGGGACAAACAGGACTTTTTGACATTATTCACAGGGAACGAAATCATTTTTACTGACCTCCAATGGGTCCTCCTGGGCCAGCAGCATTTTGCACAGAATATCTTCTCTTTTCTGAGGACAAGGCTGTAATACGGAATAAGGATTGAAAGCGGATAAGTACTTGGAATAAACAACTTTCTTTTCTTTTGGCGACATTTAAAAGGATGAATTCGTTTTCACATATGCAAACAACACTGATATTATGATTTGAGTTAAAAGGTCAACAGATTTCAATATCCTCTTGTAGTGATTGGGTTAAGAGGAAGCGTGGATACGTTTAGTCCATAAGAAGGCTTACATTTTATTTTCTTGAAAGACAGTTTCTTATTATAAAAATGTTTTTTCTCTGACTCAGACATCTAATATAAATTTACTTGGAGAAATCAGAAATAGCATACCACTATACTTATAACTGTGACAAAAAAACTATTGGTGTAAACTGTGTGCAGTAATTCGACCAATAGATTTAAATTGTTTTAGTTAGATTCAACCGTTTATATAACAAATAGTGAAATGCAACAGTGAAAAAAATTCCTAAAGAAGACATTATGTAAGAAAAAGAACAATAAGAAAGCATATCAGAATTTTAGAAATACAAATCACTCTAGAATAGACTATAGCTTTGATTCAAGTGCTTTTTAACGGAGAAAATTTTCTCAGACCCATCAAGGTACTATTGGTTATCAGAAAGATACCAGAATAAACACATGTCTATGGAAGAAATGTTGATTAGTTTAGAAGTGAATAACTCAAATAAAACAACTAAGTAAATTCGTTTCAAGAGTAGGTCACCAGGTGTTGTGGCAGCAAAGTCAACGTAAAATATGCACATAAGTATGTACATGCAACAGAAAATGATTTAAACAGAGTATTATGAGGGATTTTCATTCAGAATAAACAAGAGGATTAAAGATAGAACATTCTGAATAAAATTGTGACACATTTAAGTGTGCAGTAGATTTCCATAGTGATTTCGGAGCAATCAAATATTGTTCTGTTCTCCCGATCCTGCCTTTCATATCCTTATCCGCGCCACCTGCAACTGCAACGAATCCTCCAAAATAAATGAAATAGGTGACTTCCCTTGGATTTCTTTAGCTAATACATATTGGTGCTTGCTGTAGTTAGTGATGCTCAGGTATCTTTATCACCCCTGTCATCTACCTGTCCACTTGGAGTCCTGTGTTCGCTTCCCCATCTACCAGTTTGTTTATTTGCACTCACAGATCTTCAAGTATGTGTTACATGGGAAATAAATAGTCCGTGAAGTGCATACCTTCTTTTTGTTGGTCCACAATATGCTCTTCTTCTCGTGTGATCCACATTCAGGAGTATCATAGGTGATAGTGTGCTGCCTTATCTTACTTCTGTGTTCATTTCAAAGACTTCGCTAGGATTCCCTTTATGAATCACTTGACATGTCACATCGTCATACAGCTGTTGAATAAGGTTTATAATGGTTTGTGACACCCTCAGTGTTGAAGAAGTTTTGAAGTTACTTAGTGGTTGACACTATCGAAGGTAAAGATTCTCATTTAGGTATTTAGAATACAAAAGAAGGTCTGACCAAAAAATATTCCTTCCGATAGCTTCCTCGTCTGGCCCTTCCAAAATTAATGAAGTTCAGGAAAAGAGTTGACAGTAATCTTATACTCCGTTTAATAATGATGCTTAGTTTCGCAGTGCAGTATGTACACGATTTGCTTTTCTTGAATCCAGCTTGTTATGAGTGAAGTTTCGCATCTTTTAGTCTCCCCAGTATGATACGGCTTGATTTTTTCCTTGGAGTGGACAGGAGCATGATTCTGCCCCGATTCTTGCAGAGGTTTTATTCTTCATTGTTTGGTAGTTCAACAAGGCGCTCATTTTCATTCCCTCTAAACCTCCTGGATTAAGTGTCTGTTGGGGTCTCTGGATCTGTCTTCGGTGCTTCCTGAGGAATTCCGTCCCGCCCAGCCGAACTCTAGGCTTTTAGTAACTTTTTGGCATTCAGGACTTCTGTTTTTGTCGGAAACTCAGTGTCCACTGGCAGTTTTATCTCCTGGTGATACTTCTGTAAGAGCTGCAGGTTGTGACCGGTTCAGTAGTCTCCAGCCGGGCGTTTAGCCTGTTTCTATTCTTTGATAATTAGGTTTGCTTCACTATATTCCATGGATTTAACTTCGATTAACGACCTGGTTATCTGATATAGCATTTTGAGGCCCCTCTTACTGGCAACCTGTTCTACTTCAGCTGCTAGTGTGTTGTATAGTTGTATTTTGCTTTTCATCTCAGTATTCTCCACTTGTTTGTTTAGTGTTCTGTAGGTTATGCTCAGCTTCTCTTTTATTTGCTCATCTCTGCACTAATTCATCTTCTGCCTCACTATCCTATTTCCTTCCATCAACTTCCACATGTCAATAGGAAGTCATTCCGCGTCTTGCCTCTTCTTCCTTCCTGATAGGGCTACAAAGCTTTATTTCTACACATATTTACTTGGTAGTGTTGTTTAATGTCTCTGAAATTTCTCGAATGAATACATTGAGGATATTCTTTGCAGTTTCGTCCACTAGCTTTCACCATACATTGGTCTTAAAACAAATATTTTATTATTATCATCCCCTTGGATTCCGAGTGGAACATAGGACTTCAGGAGTACATCTCCACTTGTCCTTCTCTTTGAAGTCCTCTTTAGATGGCTTCATGACTGCTCATAGGCTTTCACCTCCTCGTCACATGATCGTCTCTGTGTCACCCTTGGACTACCCACTCGTTGTTACCCATTCATATTCCACTCCAGGGCCTGTCAAGCGCGTGATATCACCTCAGGGTCTCCTCAGAGGGTATCTAATCCACCTCCACTTTCTTCACCTTATTTCTTGAGTGATAAGTTCTTGACTAGCTTGTTCCCAGAGTGTTTTGTGGCGTATTCTTTCTGGTCATTCGATACTCAATGTGTAGCAAAGACAGTTGTTTATAAAAGTTTGCAGCCTGTTGGAAATGCTTTGCGAGACTCGCACCAAGTTTCTGACCCATATCGAAGAATGACCTGAATGACCTAACATTGGTGTTGCAAATCCGAATCTTGTTCTTAATGCTGTCTGAAAGCAGAAGATTTCCACACTAATCTCAGAGTGATGGAGGTTTGTCTTGTCTTTCTGATAATGTATGTCTTTTACATCGTCATCCTTAACATATGTAGTTGAGACGATGCTGCTCATCTGAGGGAAAGGAGTGACTTTCTTCAAATTTCTTCCGTTGATAGCGATTGATGCTTGTTGTGGTTGGTTAATTGGTTGACTTTATCACTTTCGTCTTCTGCATGTTCACTTGAAGTCCGCTGTTTGCTTCTTCTTCTGCCGACTTGTCCGATTTCGCCTATAAGTCCTTGAATTTTTGTGACATTTGGCATGAATCATGTGCGAAGTCTAGATCTCCTAGGGTTATTTTTTCGGTCCAACGTGTTCCCGTCTTGTCGCTGTTCACAGTCTACCACATGGTCCAGTCGACCTTAATCAGGAAGATGAACGGTGATTTTGGGCAGCCTCGTCTCACTTTTGTCTTTGCACCAAAGGCTTCGTGGAGTTTTCTGTTGTGAATCACTTGAAAAGTGCCAATTTCACAAAGCTGTTGAATGAGGTTTATAAAGATTTGGGGCACTCCATAGTGTTGAGGTAGTTTCCAAATTACTTCACGGTCAACACTGTCACTCTGTGTTCTGTTTGATGATGCTTGTATTTGCAGTTTTATCCGTTTATGACTTACTTTTCCTGAATCCAGGCTGTTCCGATCGCAGTTCTGCATCTCTTATCCTCTCCAGGATGGCGCGACTTATTAGTTTGCCTGGCATGAACGGAAGCGTGATACCTTGCCAGTTCTTGGAGAGGCTTAGGCTGACTATTTTCGGTAGTTAGACAAGGTATCCTTCTTCCTATCACTGGCGTTAGAATATCTTCTCTTGTCTTTGTGTTCATTTTTAGTGCCCTCGGAGAAATTCTGTCAGGTTGTGCAGCTTTCCCAAACTTCTGTAGTTTGTTTGCATTCAAGACTTCTGCTTTTGTTGAAGGACTGGTGTTCACTGGCAGTTTTATGTCTGGTGGTTGAACAATGGGAAACCCTGATACATACATATTTGTTTCTAACACAGCCTGCATTTCAACAGTCTTCTCAGATTGACAAAAATAATTTTGGGATATGCTGACGCATGATGAATTTTCTATGACCTGTAATTAGTGGCTAAATAAAATGTTGTGGATGGGTGCTAGTCTCATATTTAATTGGTGAAAGATCTAGAGGAAGTTTTGGAGGATATTTTTAAGCTACATTACAAAATGACATTATATAAATCGTCATTAGAATACGAAGTACATAAAATCCCCTCCGGTTCACATTCAGAAACCTTCTTCACATTCATCGAAGTAATAAACCGTCAATAACTGAAAGAACTCATTATACGCCCCAAAATTAATTCCAGCAACCAATTTTCTTTTCAAAGTTCGGTTATTTATATTAGAGTGCAGAAGTTATTTAATTTCATCATCGAGCAACATCACATACTCACTAAGGCCATGATTCATTCGCAATCATCGTGAGGAACTTAGTTCGAAAGATATCTGAACTTGAATGAAAAATAACTTAGACATTGTCATATTTTAATTATTTGCTGATTGTTAACATCTCGTGACGGCGATAATCAGTTTCACGTGAACAGCTGTTTTTAAAGGTGTTTTGTTTAATCGCTGAAAATGACTATTTTACAGCAAATAAATGCATCATAAAATAATATTAATGAAAACAAAAGCTAACAAACCTGTGTCTTTCAGTACAGCTGTGTAATTGAACATAAATGGAAATGTGGATCGGTAAACGAAAAGAAAACAAACAACTTGATTAGTTTTCTATCCAACGAAAAATGACTTAGTTAGCTTCAGTCAACATTAAATATGACGACAAATGACATTGTTTAAGAGTGGTTCAAGGGAGAAGGAGACAAAATGAAATTCAACTCATGTTCACAAGTTAGTTAAGAATTGTAAGTAGGAGTGTATGACAGAATTATGATGGTTAGTTAAAATATTAGTGATATATAGATGAAGATCAATTTTAATTTTTAGTGTTCAGATTAACACTTTTAATACACCAAAAAAAATTCACTCAACAGATAAGCTCTGGGAAAACGGGAAAATTTATTTGCTTTATATTGCGTACTTGGTGAAAGTTGGTGGATAAAGTTAAACAATGTGAAAAAAAGGTTTTGAATTGACTTTACCTTTATTGAGAGTAGAAAAAATTGCAAACAAGTATTAAAAATTACAGTTTTTCTCTCCTCGCAGTGTAAAGAAGAGTGAAGCTTCAGTGTGTGTCAAAGGAAATCACACTTATTTCAAAAATAAAAATCATGACTGTTAATATGAATCTTAGAAGATAAAACCACTTTTAGAAATGCTGTTGTTGTTATATAACAATTTACAGTTAAATACATCAAATGCTTATATTGTGTTAATTTACACACACTTCCGGTGCTTTTTACACGACACTATTTCAAAGCAAATCTACTAAAATTGTGAAGTTTCAAAGTGAAAATGGACATCATGCCGAATTTGCAACAAGTAAAATATAATTTGAAAAGTGAAATATTCATGATGGTGCTTCGCTAAGGTAATAGCAAACAACTGTGTTAGGCGTACTCAGAAAGGCATTTTGTGCTCTAAATTTCACCATATGCATAAGAGTGTGCTTTTGTTATAAATGTGAAGTGAGTTAAATCTCAAAATAAAGACTGATCCTCTATTCTTACATAGTCTGCTACTTTGTTTGGGAAATGTTCTTTGATTCTGAGCCAATTGTTCAACGATCGATATTTCAGGTGATTTACGTGCTGGTGGTAACTCTTAGGATTAAAAAATGCTTAGAATATAATTATTATGCATTTATGAAATCATGCATAATACATTTGAAAAACAGACATTACTTAAACAGGCCACTTTATGTACAAAGTAGCCATACACTAGAGGATACTTGGTGTTCAGCATTTTTTGGGTTATTGAATGGAATTACAGCTTGCTATCAGGGAAGTAAAACCTGAGTTTAGCGTCTTAAAGCTTTAACTTATAACATTGCATCTTAGTCCTCCTTCATATTTTTAATAAATTAAGTCAAAATGAAGGAGTGTTATTATAGTGCAGACAACCTTGTGTAGCCACCATAATATTTTCGTCTTGATACTGCTTGGTGGTGTTTAGAATACCGGACTGCTTGTGTAACTCAGTAGGTCGATTTATAAATCTTTCATATTTGAAGGCATGCAAACAATGCCAAGTTCCTTTTGTTTAAAGTTTTACAATAAACTTTTCATGTAAAACCAGGTGAGTTTTACCAAACGTAGTACGGACATTGGACTTTAATGAAAACTTTTTATACCAGTAGAGTCATTTAGTGTGGTTATTTGAGGTAGTACATGATTAGTCCTTAAAGAAGTAAATTTAAAATTTATTTCGTAAACATCAATTTCATAATTTGTATCATCTTCATTTCAGTAACTAAACAAGGATTTTTCTCTAATAACATAACTCGAATATCCCTAACCCTGAAAGACAAAATCGAAATAAAATTATATTCGAAATGAAGTAATAAGTAAAATTTTTAGGTTTTCTTGAAGTAAAAAATTCATCACTTGTCACTCTACCTTATTCATCTTCACAAGGTCCATGCATTAAAAAATTTCGTTTTTAAGAAATATTTAATTTTATTCTGTACTAGATAAATATGTCATTTAGGAAGCGTAGAGCTTAAATGCCTAATATCAGTTTAAGATAAATATTTTAGCCTGCTGATTTCAAAAAAATATATACATTATTCATCATGCAAAATCAGTCTGTTCAAGAGAAACTCTTGGTATAACAGGGAAATTATATCATCTTAAATGTTATAACTAAAACCTCGTTTATTTTTGCGACCATTGGTGTTATGAAAATTAGGTTTTATTATTTGCTGCTGATTCATATAACAGAGAAGGGAGTTTCACCTTCCAGATACATTTATGAACTGTTCATATCTTCAACAACTTGAACGAAGCCATGACATCAAGTACTGATAGGAGTAGGTACTAACACTAATTGGTGTTGCTTACAAGGAAGTTATAGGTTATCCTATTAATAATCATGGATCAAACCAGTGAACAAGAATTCACATATCATTACCATATTTTGCATAACCATAACTAACTCTTTTCCGTTCTAGTCCTTTTTTAGCTGATATTGATGGGCAAGAAAACACATTGTCTTGGCACACATAACATGTTTCTTAGTCGTTTTAAGTGATGTAGCTCTTCAACACAGTTGAGTGAGCTCCCCTTCATACCTAAATATATGCAACTATCCTCAATTTTGCTGAGTGTATTTCTGCGTTCAGTTAATATAACTGTACAACATTGTGTGATTTATCAAAATAAAATCTTATCCATAATGGAGTTGTACTCTACCACAGTGCCCAAGTTTTATACTTATATTTCTGCGTTGTATGCAGGAACCTATGGTCAAAATTCACCAGTTTTTCTCACCTTCAAACTTTAGCATTTACGTCCTACAGCAGTAAGACAGGAAGGAGTGAACTGTCACATAATACAGACACCTTTGAAAGGTAGCCGGGTATAAGGCTAACAGTTAGGGTTATACAAGTTCGTAACTGTTAGAGTAGCCTTTTGAGTATCTATGCTGAACAGTCGACAGAAGACAGCCCATTAGGACCCATGAATTTTCGCAAGTGAAGTGTCCAACACATGCAACAATCTCACCACCTATCTGTAAATTTGAAGTCAGTGTAGGCCGGTGCTGCAGTATCACCTAGCTTTAAAATGTAGCAAATACACGACTCTGCACATTGTCAGTTTTTTCACTTATAAGTATTAGATCGTCTCTATATTTGAGATGAATGAGACTTCATTTTGTTGACGAATTACATCCTAAATCATCGAAGTCTGCCTAGCTCAAATCCATTAGTACATGACGCTCATTATCCCAGGTGTATACGTTTGAGCCGACAAAACGAAATGCCAACTTCAAGTTAAGAAGCCAAGAAGTAAGTCTCTGTCACAGAGTGAGTTAATGACGAATCCACTCTTATTCGTCAATCACTCACTCATGGGTGGCAGCCCGGTTATAGGGTAAACTAGGATGTGTTACTTTCTGGACGGTTTGCTACCTAACCGAGAGAATAATCTAGCTGCTGCTTCACCCCTCAACGGACAGAAGTACTACCTATCTCTGTAAGCAAGCAAACCACCGCTTCAGGCATGGTAGAACGATTGGCGAAATTCCTCCCAGTTAGTACAGCCTTCTGGGTTGTTGTGAAATGCAGGCACAATTACCACGTGAATTTGTTGGCATGTAAGCTTACTCACATTAATAAATACACAAACATCAACTAGTATTAGAGAAACCCATCAACTGGCTGAACTAATTACACAAGAAACACTAGGAAAATACTGATCTGAAAACTATCTTACTGATTGCATTTCATACACTTATTCCTTCGTATAAATCTCAATAAAGCAAGAACAGCGGTTTGTGAAGAATGAGATCGTACCATCTTTTATTTCGCCTGAATCTCAGCAGTTGCATACAAGCAACAGAAATTAACTGAATCTATGAACGGAACAATTTTAATATACTTACAAATGTTGTGTAGTGTCAGTTGAATCCGAATTCAATAAACAGTGATTAGAAATCACACCTATACAACATATACATAGAAGGTTCAAGTTTAAACCAAAAAGTAAATGCCTGGATACACTGGTAAAGGAGTTGCGTAATAAAAACAAGAGGAAGATAAGATGATCAGTAGCTAATAAGTTACAATGTGGTAAGTTCAATAAAAAGCACAGAAAAAAGAAACAAGCAAAATTACACCATAGCAAAGAGGAAAAGATAAAAGCCAAAGGCAACACAATCAAATGAAAGACAGAGTGAAATATCCAGCTGAAAGGGCAGGGAAAGACTGATAACTACTTCTCTCTGAAAATATAAATTGGGTTTTAGGCGTTTGATAGCAATAGCTTCGCCAAACTTGAGGAGGTAATTTCAAAGGATTTTGAGATATCCATCGCATGACCCACTTCGATGAGATGTCTGCCACTGGCACTGTAGTGAGCGTTTTTCCTCTTGAGACGTTTGTTTTTTTAGTATATGTTGAGAAAATCGAAGGTGTGCCTCTATTGTTATTCTCCCAACGTGACTGCTACATGCAATTCATGTAAATTTATGTATACAGTTAAATTTAACACGAGAAGGGTATCAGTCAATCTTTGACTGCACCAAAGAACATGTTTTTCGAGAAACAGGAATCAACTTAGCTGCACTATAGGTTTTGGCTAGTGAGGTATTCAATCTTTTGTTCACTATTCCTGCACCTTTAAAATTTAGTTGAATGAAGATAGGCTTCTTATCCATTGTGATTTCTTTGGCACTTAAATCTTCACATTTTCCGTTCTAGTTAATAAATTTTTGGGGGTAAACGTTGGTTTCCCTCTTAATTCTCAGTAGAGGAGGTTCTCCAGGCTCTATGAAACAGAGTTCTGACTAATGCATAAGCTATATAAATGTAATTCCCGAGTAGTGTTTATTAAGTTCGGATTCAACTGACACTACACAACATTTGTAAGTATATTAAAATTGTTCCGTTCATAGATTCAGTTAATTTCTGTTGCTTGTATGCAACTGCTGAGATTCAGGCGAAATAAATTGTCGTTCTTACTTTAATACAATTATTGGTGACAAAAATTTCATCTCTAAATATTTAACTTTGTCAGAGTTAAATAAATGCTTCATAATTTCTGAAGTATGCTAGTTGAAGCTAAGTTATTCTGTTTGCGTAAACAAATTTGAAAAATTAATTCTATTTGCTTTATTGAATAAATATCATGGGATTATACATAAAACATGCATACTTTCTCCCAAGTTTGCTTACTTTAGCCATATTATTCCGTTTAAATTAGTGAACCGTTAACCTTGCAAAAATTATATCATTTATTTATTTATTTTTTTAGTAACTTTATTGTTTCTCATATTGGTCAGTGACTGTAATATAATCACATTCATATATTGCAAATTTAAAACATTCAACAACTTTACAAAAAAGCAGTATTTAATGAACTCATAAATTTCGATAGGACTTGTCAGTTGGAAACACTGCATTGTTATTTATGCATTTTTTTAAAAAGGTCAAATATATACAAATACACGAACATTGTGACAACAAATAAGCATCTCAGATCCAACAAATATGCGATCAATGAGTGGGGAGTAATAATCTAGGAATTTATGAATTCCTTGAATAGAGCTTTTTCACAGCTGTTTTTTGATTAAAACTTTATTTGGGAAAGAAACGTTTCCAGCATATCAAAAATGACACGAGACAAAAGGTGGATTTTTTTTCATAAAAAATTGCTAAATTTATTCGTCTTATAATAGACTGTGAAGAAAGTAGGGCACACTGAATGAGCACTTCAATGTACCAAATATAAAAAGGACTGATTGGTGAGCGAAATTATATGTAAAATGAGTATATGAGAAAACGCACTCATTTTGCACACACTTAACATTCATTGGGTTAACTTTGTGAAACAATGGAAAGAAGTTTAGACGGTATTATCTGTTAAACTTTTGATATTAAGAACATCTACATTCACAGTGGAAATATCCGTCATTTCAGGAACATTTTGGTTTAGTTTAATGCATGAAGTTACTTTGGCTCACTTAGTGAGATTAGTTCACTTCAATATAATCTTACATGTGTTTTCGGCAGTGCTGGAAAGACCAGGAGCTGATGTCCTGTGCTGAAGACCTTAAAAAGTTTTGCATTTATTTTATTGTTAGAGTTTTATCAGTGAATACA